ATGATGAATATTGTATAATTCCTCTATTTTTATTTTTGAGTCTATTTTTAACTTTTTCGGCAAAGAAATAAGGTAAACCAGCTATAAATTTTTCTTTCCAATGATCTAATTGACTATCTTCTCTAGTTAATACTCTTGAAAAGAACACATCTTTATACCATTTACAATGAGATAAAGTAGGACATCTTAAATTGGAAAGTAAATCTTCAGATCCAGCTTCTAATAAAACTGTACTCCCTACGAAATGAAGAGTAATAGTATATATGAGGGTATTGACCGCATCACTTTCACTGTATAATATATCTTGATTTTGTTCATTTTTAACAGTCCATTGTCTAGTATTAGATAGAATATTATTTTTAGTGGCATCGGGTAGGTGAAAATCCCACCATCCTCGAAGCCAACCAGTGAATCCACAAACAATAGCTTTGGCTACCTCTTGGTCGTGATTTCCTGCCATTTTACATGCTGATGCATACATGGTCATATGTTCCATAGTATCCAATATTTGATGTTCAGACAGACCATCTATGTTCCAATTTACTATTGTTCTTCCAAAATAGGAAGTGGTGTGTGATATTAAATCTTCTTCAAATTGAATATCTACTGGGGTTGGTCTGGTATGATACATTCTTGCCTGGGTTGCAGGTCTCCATTTCGTTCCATAAAATATCTTAATAATATTTTGTGTATCTTGATTATTTTATGTAAAAGCAATTTCCATATTGTCCAAATTCTCTTCTATTAATGGTTCTTCTTGGAGGGTTAAAGCTTCTGGTTCTTTCAGAGTTCCTTTACCCTTTTTCTCTGTTTCTTTATCTGTAATATCTAGATGGGATAATTTAGAGATTAATTCGTTTATAAGATCTTTGTTATCTTTCCTTAAGATTAAATCTTTCTGTATTTATTTCAGGGGGAGGTGTAAACAAGATTGCTTTTTTCTGCACTTCTAATTTTCCATGAGAAGCGCTTAACATATTTTCAATTCTAACTGATTGTCTTCCTAATGATTGCATATATAAATTCGTATAGTTATTTTGTTCTATAATGTGGGGTAATAATTCTATCATTTGGGTATATTCATTAGTCATTTTATAATGGGTTGCTCTTGTTTCTGAGACAATTTTAGTGTCAGAATCTTTTTCTATTTTGGTGGTTCCTTTTATAATAATATTTTTTTCTGGAGGATGTATTGAAGCCATATTGCCTTCTACTAGATTATATGTATGATATTGCTTTTCTAAAGCATATATTTCAAATTTAGGGATTTGAACTCCTTTTTCAGTAAGAATCTTTTTAAGCCATCATACAAAAAATCCTATATTTTGCTTTTCCTTTTTTAAATATTTATTGTATTTAATATGGAATAGATCTATTAATCTTTTTTGAAATGTTTTTAAATACCATTCTCTGATTTGTGAATTTTCATCTGAGAAGTAATCATTACGTAAATAGTCTAAGTCTACTTTCGTTTTTTCTTGTAGAGTTAAAATTTGAAAATCTATTTCTGTATCAGAAAACTCTGTGTTACTGCTAATTGGTTTATATTGGGGTTTATAATTAGGAATTTGTATGTTGCTCCTAGTTCTTGTTAATCTTTGAATGGTTGATTCATAAATTGCAGAGGTAGAATGTCTAGCTGATTCCACATGTTTCTTACTTGGTTTTAGTCCTAAATCATCTTTACTTTTTTTATTATCTCTAAATTGAATTTCTATATCTCCATCTAAATGTTCAATTACTTGATTAGGATTATTATTAATAGGGGTTTTATATTGTTGCTTTTCATTGTAAATTGACCATGTTTCTGGTAATACAATCTGGGACCAGTCTATTGATTTAGGTACTATAGTATTAGATTTTTCAATATTTGTTTGAAAAAATATTGTTTTACCTTTAGTATCTCTTTGTAACACATTAGGACATAAAGTATTCATAACTTTATAACAAATTCGATAAACTATTGCTATATTTTGAGATCTTGGGTTCATATCGAATCCCTGGGTCTTAAGATTAAGTGTTAATACTTTGAGAATATTAGGATCATTAAATGATACAGAGTAGTTTGGGAAACAATTAAAATATACTGGACCACTACATAAACTAGATTCTACTATTCCTAGTAATGAATCATTAAACTTATTATGTCTTGTATCTCTTAAACATACTAGAATTGAATTATTAAGTCCTAACCTGGTTGGAAGCTTTATGGCTACTTGTATTAAACCTATATGCAAATATTTATAATTTTTATGAGACTGTATAATTTTATTGGATAATAATTGGAAATCTTCTTGATTATTTATAATCAGATAAAGTTTCTTCTACAGTTTTGATAACATATCCTACTCTTAATTCAAATGATCTTTTTTTATATACATCTGTTATTGGGATTCTAGGTATATTCCAATTCTGGATTTTTTTTTCTACATTATCTATGATTATTTCTTCTTTATTTTTTATTCTTAAAGTGCTACTTGACTGAGGTAATGCCTTATTAGATAGATTTCTAATGAAATTTTCCATTATTAAGTTGCGGATGAGTGCCTTTAGTCAACCTCTTACGTCTTTCTGGACCTCAGCGGCTCTCTTGACCTTAACAGTCACTTTGACTAGGTAGCAACAGCCTCAACTCTCGGACCAACTTTCTTTAATGGATAAATTTAATTAGATTTCTACCTTCTTCAGCTATTATCCTTGTGAAGTAACAGTTCTTTGAATAAAATTTAAAGAAGTGTGTACGTACTTAGCTGGCTCTGATACCAAATCAACCAAGATCTATATTTTTATACTATCATTCTAACATATCCTAGGTAAATTAACAGAACTAACATTACAAGAATAGAAAATGGAGCTATATCTAAAACAATCCAAGTAGTATAAGTAGACTGAAGAAACTTGATGCTAAAAACAACTTTCAATTGTATATTAAGAATTAAAAGATACAAATTACAGATTACTCCAACATACGGTTACAGATTCAAACAAAAGATACAAATTACAGATTACTCCAACATACAGTTACAAACTCAAACATCAGATTATACAGATTACAGATTACTCCAACATACTAACAATACACCTAATTACTCATAAAAGAGGAGGAAAATAAAAGGGGAAGATTCTTACAACTTACAAATACAATAACTACAGAAAGCTTTCCACTCAAACGGACAATAACTAGGTAAACTGTCTTGATTACAATCACATATTCACTCTCTAAAGAAGAGGAGAAAATAGAGAAAGAGAAAAGGAAGAAAATGGACTCTAGAATTCTGAGCTTCTGATTTCAAGCCTGCCTTCTTCATTTGGTGTTTTGTTCTTATATAGAGGCGGATTTCAAATGCTTCCTCTAATCAGCTTATTGCTTTTGCAAATCTCTTCTGGTCTTTACAGGTGGACGGTTGAGGTAGACTGGAATCTTCCAGATGGGAAAAGATTAGAGATATAGAATCTTCCTGTAACAGGTAGTGGGTGGCAGCTTTTGTCTTTGGTGGATAATGGAGGAGGAATCTGTCGACAGTTTTGTCGTTTGTTGGATAATAGGGAAAGAATCTGTCGGTAACTTTGTCGTTTGTTGGATAATGGAGGAGTCTGTCGGCAGCTTTGTTTTCTTTCGTTGGTAAGGAATCTTTTTACTATTGCTGTCTATTCAGTAACTATTGCTGAGAATGACTTAAAATGCTTGTAAAGGATGGGCCGGGTCAAGCCTAATATGGGGTCTGTTTTTCGGAGTAGTCATGGGCAGATTGGTCTTCTTCTGGTTCGATCATGAGATTTCCTTCTTCTTCTGTTACTTGATTATCTGCCAATTCTGCTTCTTCTTCGAATATTTTCAACAATTGTTTCTCCAGTTCTTCTTTTGTGGCTTTTGGATTTTTCTTTCTCATCATTCGTATGTATTCAGAAAGTTTATTTGGGTCCTCATAAGAGTATGATCCTACATTGGTGGGTATTTTTTATTGTTGATTTTGTAATAAAGACAAACATTTGATGGACAACCCAAATACAGTTGCAGCCATGTATTTGCTCAATAATCTTAATCCATCCAATGGGATTAAGACCAGAGAATGGTATGAGGCCATTCTCCTAGAAACCAATTTAGCTTCAATTACTCATTATTTATCAGAAGAATACAAATATAGTACAATATTCAAAATTGCAGAATTGGAAAATATTAACTTTCAATGAATGGGATGCAAACCCACTCAAGTCAAAACTATTAAAATCTCCAGACTTCCCAAATAAATATTATAGACATTCAGAATATGTTGATGCATGGCATAAGGTTTTGTGCCTTCAAAATCCGTATAATTCCCATACTTGGTTCATACAATTCAAAATGCCAATTAATGAACCTTCTCCAAATTGGTTCCAAAATTGGTTTTCAATATGGGGATCAGGATCCCAGATATTACCTGAATCATTGCAATTATCTCAAGCCAGATTCATTGAATATAATGGTAGAGACCCTAATATAGACTACCATCTATATTTTACGGCTCTTTATAAAATTCCTTGGATGTTAAAGTGGAAGTTTGCAATATCTAAAAATATTTACAATAATTATGAATATATTCCATGCATTGGAAAACAAATTGCAATCAAATGGTGGGATATCTTTATATATAATAACCTAGAACCTACCCATATAAAAATGAAGCCAATACCCACCAATTTAGGATCATACTCTTATGAGGAACCAAATAAACTTTCTGAATACATATGCATGATGAGAAAGAAAAATCCAAAAGCCACAAAAGAAGAACTGGAAAAACAATTGTTGAAAATATTCGAAGCAGAAGCAGAATTGGCAGATAATCAAATAATAGAAGAAGAAGGAAATCTCATGATCGAACCAGAAGAAGACCAATCTGCCCATGACTACTCCAAAAAACAGACCCCATATTAGGCCTGACCCGGCCCATCCTTTACAAGCATCTTAAGTCATTCTCAGCAATAGTTACTAAATAGACAGCAATAGTAAAAAGATTCCTTACCAACGAAAGAAAACAAAACTGCCGACAGACTCCTCCTCCATTATCCAACAAACGACAAAGTTACCGACAGATTCTTTCCCTATTATCCAACAAACGACAAAACTGTCGACAAATTCCTCCTCCTTTATCCACCAAAGACAAAAGCTGCCACCCACTACCTGTTACAGGAAGATTCTATATCTCTAATCTTTTCCCATCTGGAAGATTCCAGTCTACCTCAACTGTCCACCTGTAAAGACCAGAAGAGACTTGCAAAAGCAATAAGCTGATTAGAGGAAGCATTTGAAATCCGCCTCTATATAAGAACAAAACACCAAATGAAGAAGGAAGGCTTGAAATCAGAAGCTCAGAATTCTAGAGTCCATTTTCTTCCTTTTCTCTTTCTCTATTTTCTCCTCTTCTTTAGAGAGTGAATGTGTGATTGTAATCAAGACAGTTTACCTAGTTATTGTCCGTCTGAGTGGAAAGCTTTCTGTAGTTATTGTATTTGTAAGTTGTAAGAATCTTCTCCTTTTATTTTCCTCCTCTATTATGAGTAATTAGGTGTATTGTTAGTATGTTGGAGTAATCTGTAATCTGTATGATCAGATGTTTGAGTCTGTCACTGTATGTTGGAGTAACCTGTAATCGTATATTGGAGTAATCTGTAACTGTAAGTTGAAGTAATCTGTAATTTGTATCTTTTCATTCTTAATATGCAATTGAAAGTTGTTTTTAGCATCAAGTTTCTTCAGTCTGCTTATACTACTTGGATTGTTTTAGATATAGCTCCATTTTCTATTCTTGTAATATTAGTCCTGTTAATTTACCTAAGATATGTTAGAATGATAGTATAAAAATATAGATCTTGGTTGATTTGGTATCAGAGCCAGCTAAGTACGTACACACTTCTTTAAATTTTATTCAAAGAACTGTTACTTCACAAGGATAATAGCTGAAGAAGATAGAAATCTAATTAAATTTATCCATTAAAGAAAGTTGGTCCAAGAGTTGAGGCCGTTGCCACCCAGTCAAAGTGACTGTTAAGGCCAGGAGAGCCGCTGAGGTCCAGAAAGACGTAAGAGATTGACTAAAGGCACTCATCCGCAACCTAATAATGGAAAATTTCATTAGAAATCTATCTAATAAGGCATTACCTCAGTCAAGTAGCACTTTAAGAATAAAAAATAAAGAAAAAATAATCACAGATAATATAGAAAAACAAATCCAGAATTGGAATATACCTAGAATCCCAATAACAGATATATATAAGAAAGGATCATTTGAATTAAGAGTAGGATATGCTATCAAAACTGTAGAAGAAACTTTATCTGTTATAAATAATCAAGAAGATTTCCAATTATTATCCAAAAAAATTATGCAGACTCATAAAGATAAAAATTATAAATATTTGTATATAGGTTTAATACAAGTAGCCATAAAGCCTCTAACCAGGTTAGGACTTAATAATTCAATTCTAGTATGTTTAAGAGATACAAGACATAATAAGTTTAATGATTCATTACTAGGAATAGTAGAGTCTAGTTTGTGTAGCGGTCCAGTATATTTTAATTATTTCCCAAACTACTCTGCATCACTTAATGATCCTAATATTCTCAAAGTATTAACACTTACTCTTAAGACCCAGGGATTCGATATGAACCCAGGATCTCAAAATATAGCAATAGTTTATTAAATTTGTTATAAAGTTATGAATACTTTATGTCCTAATGTGTTACAAAGAGATACTAAAGGTAAAACAATATTTTTTCAAACCAATATTGAAAAATCTAATACCATAGTACCAAAATCAATAGACTGGTCCCAGATTGTATTACCAGAAACATGGTCAATTTACAATGAAAACCAACAATATAAAACCCCTATTAATAATAATCCTAATCAAATAACTGAACATTTAGATGGAGATATAGAAATTCAATTTAGAAATAATAGAAAAAGTAAAGATGATTTCAGACTAAAACCAAATAAGAAACATGTGAAATCAGCTAGACATTCTACCTCTGCAATTTATGAACCAACCATTCAAGGATTAACAAGAACTAGGAGCAACAAACAAATTCCTAATTATAAACCCCAATATAAACCTATTAGCAGTAACACAGAGTTTTCTGATACAGAAATAGATTTTCAAATTTTAACTCTACAAGAAAAAAAGAAAGTAGACTTAGACTATTTACGTAATGATTACTTCTCAGATGAAAATTCACAAATCAGAGAATGGTATTTAAAAACATTTCAAAAAAGATTAATAGATCTATTCCATATTAAATACAATAAATATTTAAAAAAGGAAAAACAAAATATAGCATTTTTCGTATGGCTTAAAAAGATTCTTACTGAAAACGGAGTTCAAATCCCAAAATTTGAAATATATGCTTTAGAAAAGCAATATCATACATATAATCTAATAGGAGAAGGCAATATGGCTTCAATACATCCTCCAGAAAAAAGTATTATTATAAAAGGAATCACCAAAATAGAAAAAGATTCTGACACTAAGAGAGTCTCAGAAACAAGAGCAACCCCGTATAAAATGACTAATGAATATACCCAAAGTATAGAATTATTACCCCACATTATAGAACAAAATAACTATACGAATTTATATATGCAATCATTAGGAAGACAATCAGTTAGAATTGAAAATATGTTAAGAGCTCCTCATGGAAAATTAAAAGTGCAGAAAAAAGCAAACTTGTTTAAACCTCCCCCTGAAATAAATAAAGAAAGATTTAATCTTAAGGAAAGATAACAAAGATCTTATAAACGAATTAATCTCTAAATTATCCCATCTAGATATTACAGATAAAGAAAAAGAGAAAAAGGGTAAAGGAACTCTGAAAGAACCAGAAGCTTTAACCCTCCAAGAAGAACCACTAATAGAAGATAATTTGGACAATATGGAAATTGCTTTTACATAAAATAATCAAGATACGCAAAATATTATTAAGATATTTTATGGAACGAAATGGAGACCTGCAGCCCAGGCAAGAATGTATCATACCAGACCAACCCCAGTAGATATTCAATTTGAAGAAGATTTAATATCACACACCACTTCCTATTCTGGAAGAACAGTAGTAAACTCGAACATAAATGGTCTGTCTGAACATCAAATATTGGACACTATGAAACATATGATGATATATGCATCAACATGTAAAATGGCAGGAAACCATGACCAAGAGGTAGCCAAAGCTATTGTTTGTGGATTCACTGGTTGGCTTCGAGAATGGTGGGATTTCCACCTACCCGATGCCACCAAAAATAATATTCTATCTAATACTAGACAATGGACAGTAAAAAATGCACAAAATCAAGATATATTATACAGTGAAAGTGATGTAGTCCATACCCTCATATATACTATTACTCTTCATTTCGTAGGGAGTACAACTTTATTAGAAGCTAGATTTGAAGATTTACTTTCCAATTTAAGATGTCATACTTTATTTCCTTATAAATAGTATAAAGATGTGTTCTTTTCAAAATTATTAACCAGAGAAGATAGTCAATTAGATCATTGGAAAGAAAAATTTATAGCTAGTTTACCCTATCTCTTTGCCGAAAAAGTTAAAAATAGACTCAAAAATAAAAATAAAAGAATTATATCATATTCATCATATACTTTAGGAGAATTATCTGCAGAAATATGTGTAGAAGTACTAGCCTTATGCACTGACCTAAAATTAAAAAGACAACTAGATAAACAAAGAATGATTAGTAAGAAAGAATTAGGTGATTTTTGCGAACAATTTGGTTATAGTATAGATACATCTCCTAATAAAACACATAAAAAGAAAAAATATAAAACAAAGAGAAAAAATAAGAAATATAAGCGAGAGAAATTTATTAAAAAAATTTCCCCTAAAACCAAAAAAAGGGAAAAAGAAATTACCTGTATGTTACAAGTGTGGAAAAGTGGGACATTATAAAAGCAATTGCAAAATAAAAAGAAAAATAGATACTATAATACTAAATGAAACCATTAGAAACAAAATCTATGATATAATACAAATCTATGATTCAAGTAGTAGTTCCACTGAAGACACAAATGAAAGTGATAGTTCATTAATAGGTCACATTGAAAATGAAAATCTAGTATGGAGTAGTTCTGAAAATCAATCAGATAATGAAAAAATGGAAGAATGTTCTTGCAATACTCTCACAAATGAAGTTTTAGATCTAATCAAGAAAATTGCAAACCCTAATGAAAAAAGAGAGGTAATAACTCAATATTTAAAATTAGCCAAATTAAAAAATAAATCGCCACCATTAATAAAACCAACCGACGCATATAGTTTTTCAGAAATCATAAAAAGAATAAATAAAAGGGATATAATTAATAAAGAACCTACAATATTTGATTTAAAAAGAGAAGTAAATGAAGTCAAAGAAGAAGTACAACAACTAAAAAATAGAATTAAAATATTAGAACTTCACAATGAAGTATAAGGAGAATTATCTGACACAGATGAATTAGAATTTAATCAACTAGTAGATATTCATAATAATAAATCCATAGCAGAAACTCCTGAACCTTCTGAAACCAATATTGAAAACAATTTGAATTTAATAAATAGAATCATTACACAAAAATGGTTTACCCTAATAAGAATTATAGTAAAAAATGATTATAGTTTTCAATCATTAGCATTAATGGACTCTGGAGCTGATTTGAATTGTATCAATGAAGGCCTTGTCCCCACTAAATATTTTGATGAAACGAAACAAGCTCTAAATTCTGCAAATGGAAGTAGATTAATAATTAAATATAAATTATCTGATACAGTTGTTTGTAATAATGGTAATTGTATAACAACACCTTTTATTATGGTTAAAGGTTTAAGTCAGGCTGTAATATTAGGAACACCTTGTTTAAGCCTACTTTATCCCTTAACTATAGACACTACTGGTATAGAAACAACAATAGATGGTCATAAAATCAATTTTGAATTTATAGATAAGCCAAAAATTAAAGAAATTAATAATGTAAAACATCATAGAGAAAATCAAGAAAAATTTCTCTGTTATCTTAAAACAGAAATAAAATATAAACAAGTAGAGGAAGATCTAACTCTTTCTGAAACCCAAGAAAAAATTATTTCAATAAAAACCAAAATTGAAAAAGAAATATGTAGTGATTTACATAATGCCTTTGGGGAAAGAAAGAAGCATATGGTTAGCTTACCATATGAGCCAGATTTTACTGAAAATAAAATACCTACTAAAGCAAGACCAATAC